GTAATGAAGGTAATAATAATGCAATCACACAAAACATGAGATACATGTACTATGAATATTGATATAATAACATGAATATTGATTAAATTCTGAATATATAGCGATCAACTACATGTATCAATAATGAGCAAATAAGTGTTTACTCAGAACAAATTTACCAATGAGTGACCCTGTGTTTTCATTTACCTTCAATCAGGTGTATTTGAAAACAAAATGCATGAAATTAAAGAAATGTTTTTCAGATTGTCCAATTTCACTGAGGTACCTGACCGAGAAAGATTTGTGAAACACTGGTATACAAGTACAAATCCCTGATCAGCATAAAGGAAAATAACCTGTCAAGAGACTGAATGCTCTAGTAAACTGTTCAATTATGAGAAACTGAAAGAGATTAATGACACAAAGAGCAAATTTTATGTTCAACAAAAATGCTGGATAATGCAATTCCTTCCTCTGTTATCAATTACCTTGTCTTAAAATAAACTACAAATACAATTATAGTTCGACTGACCTTAGATTAACAAAGGTCATTGTAAGCCAAATATATACATGTAGGCATTCAGTCACAATAAAAAGACATACACAAATTTAGAAAATCCCCATGGCAATCTGATGTCTTGTTTAGTTGGAATTAACTGGTCATTTCATTATTCAAATCAGACTTTCAGATTATATACAGTCTACATGATTTATCCCATATATCATAGCACTTGACTGTATATTCTCTTCAAACAGAATGATGTCAATAAAGTATTATGACGTCCATGAAATTCAAAATATAACTACCACATGTATCTGTTTTTTTTGAAGATGGATATTTGCAAATATTGTATATACCTGATTTTTCTATGATATTGGGTGTATTGATTTGCCCTAAATGACTATACTGGTACAATGAATCAAATTATACAATATCACTCAATTGAGGACATTCACATTGTATCTCTAATAGAAGCGCACATACATGCAAAATTATTAAAATATGTATTATTTTGAGCATCAAAACACCTTTATGTACCGGTACATGTACTAATAGACCAAATACAATATATTCAGAGCACCTACACGTACAAGAAATGGTACTTCATTTAGTTTATGAGTAGTCAAGATTCACTTGAAGTATCTTTTATTCGATAAATTGCCATAGTTAGGAAAAAGCACAATCTAAAAGAATATGGAGGGAGTGCCCTAATAACCACATGATTGTACTCAGATAAACGTACACTGTACAATGAAATTAGGCTAATTGGAGGAGACAGAAATTTTGCAATAATTGTCTCAATCTTTAATATTTGATAAAAACACAACATTCAGCACCATCAATGATGGGAAACCCTATTGATGGAGCTAAACGTTACTTGCATTAAACGTAAACTTCAATTGACCTAACTGTGATGACACACCCACACAATATGCTAATAACTTTAACAAGGTTTTAATGAAGACATAACTCATGAATATTTTAAAGTGCAATAATTAATAGAAAGCATTTATTATAAAACACTGGAATCATGTATTTGGTCTTGATCCCCACTTTGTACATGCTTTCTATCATACTAAACCGGTCACCAAATTGCGTTTTTTTACACAGATGCTGGCGTGAGCATAGACAAGCCTAAATAGGTTTTGATTGTATACAACAACACCAGTGGCTGTTCCCGGCTCTATGTTACAAGAAGTTCAAGCACTGAATTACAGAGGACAACAATGGATTGGATGACACTACCACCAAAACTTAGACTGTGCTGTGTTGTAAAATTTAGACTATAAAACTGCCATATACATTGTATATGTATCACACCCACAAAGGAAATTACCCACAAAAGTTATGTACAATATTCAGTAATAATAGTGGTACCAGCAAAAGTTATAGTCATAACAATCCTAATGAAAATATTGACAATGGTTAATGACAAAAATCTGATTGCACATGTTGTATGGTTGTTCTCATTGAAAGCAAAGATCACGCCTCCTGAAAACACTGCATGAAGCTTTAACAGAAAAGTAGAATGGATAAATCATTTAGTATTATTAATAAGCTGTACACTTATTATGCAAATAAGATTAATTACAAGAATTGAACTCATTAATACATATGTTTTTATCATGTTACCCACAGTAACAACATTTAGCTGGTTCAGTTATGCAGTGTTCTAAAGCATGTAATTTTCTTTATTTCACTTAAAAAAAAAGAATTTTAATACTTCAGTATTCTCAGGCAAACAAATTTCAAGGTCAAAGTCTCTAAAAAAAAACTTGAAATGAGTGAAGGAAATATTGACTGCTGTGTGAGACATCAAGGCACACTCAGGTGGGCATCTAAACAATCGTGTACATGGCCTTTTTGAATTCCAAACACTGCACAGGTGTTCGTCATTTCATCCGAGTATCTACGATAAAAGACTAGTCGTGCATTAACCTTACTAATGCCTGAGAGATTGTGAAGATATTTTATAGAAGATTATCACAGAGGGTGTTGTTGCCACGGCTTACAGAAATCAATAGTTGAACCTCTATACACGATACATCTTTCATAATATCATCTAGATAGTTAAATTGGAGTGATTGAATAGAGCATTGCTACATGTATTAGAATGATCTGAGTGTTCTGTACTATACATCAGTAACTATATGATCAAAATACTGTTACATACTATAATGTATGTATTCTAAATGCATAAATTATTCGCAGGTTTTTAATTTCATTATTTTCGTTGATAAGTGAAATTGTTTTTTTATTATTTTTCACTGATTCATTTCCACGGTCACACATTTGATAATGAACAATCTAAGTGTCATGTCAATTCTATGTCAAGTCAACTTTTGTTACTTTGCCACAATTTGTCCATATTTTTATTTAAAAAGACCTGTAGCCAATGAAATTAATCATATTTGGTACAAAATTAATTACAAAGAATTATACAAAAATACATCAAAATGCTACAACAGATTGTAGAAAAATTTGGCAATTTAAAAAGTTAAAAAGCTGCAATGGTAGTCTACATTTGAAATGTTTTAGTCTGTGTCATATGACC